TCAGAACTCCGCACTGACCATCGAGGAGTTCCACGCCCAGCTCCAGGAAGCCACCAACTTCCCTCTGAGGCCCTTCGTCATCCCCTTCCTGAAGGTAAGGCAGACCTACCTCCCCTCGTGCAGGGCCCAGGGAACCCCGAGTCCTTTTCTCTGCCGGCCCGGACCAGGCATTGCTCTCGGCCCACCCGGGGCCCTCAAGGCTCCCCATCCTTCTGGGGAACGGTGCCGAGCTGTCTGGGCCGCTTCCTGCAAACTACTTGCCAGACCAGAGCAGTCAGCCGCCAGCCTGGTCCTCCCAGAGCTCCCAGAGTCATCCCTGTTCTTACTGGCCAAGTTCACCCATCCACTTGACAGCTGTTTTTTGAGCACCTGCTGTATGCCAGCTGACAGTTGCCACGGACTCTGGAGAGGTGGGTGCAGAGCTGCAGGGAGGGAGCTTTTGATGAGGATGGAGGAGGGTGAGGGCGGATAGCAGGGAACAGAGCCTTCCAGGTAGCAAGGGCAGCGTCTGCAGAGGCCCTGTGAGGCAGGGGTGTGCCTGGCAGGTTTGAGGAGCAGTGAGGGGGCTGTGTGGCCGGGACAGAGTGAGGGGAGTGGGACAGTGGACAGACGGAGGCACAGGCAGTGGTGGGTGTTTACGGCAGTGAGCACGCGGATGGGTGAGAGGGTGTCAGATGAAAGGCAGCCGTGTGAGCCTCACGGAAGATAAGCAAGGACCAGGGCCTGTCATCGACACTTGGCGGTGAGCCAGGGCAGCAACAGCAGAGCTTGTGAGCAATGCAGCTTCCCAGGCCCCAGCCCAGACCCACTGAATCGGAACCTGCGCTTTAATGAGGTGCTGAGCAACACTTGTGTGCAAGAACTGGACGGTGCAGGTGCAAGCAGGCTCGGACGTTGGACCAGCGTGCCCACAGCGGCACTTCACAGGCCTTCACTCCCCTCCGAGGGGCGCCCATCGCCTGTGCACCTCCCCGGGTCAGGGTCCCACAGAGCTCACTTGGGAGACCCACGCCTGCCCTGTGGGGCTCTTGTTTCCTGGCTCAAGTGATGCTTCCAGCTGTGGGCCCTGCTCGCCTGCATGGTGGGGCCCTGGTGGGGCTGCCTTCCAGAGGGTCTTGAGGACAGACCAGACCAGACCAGACCAGACGTGCCCAGGGTCAAGCCCTGACCCGCCCCTTAGCCCTGGTTGTCCTGGGCCAACCTAGTTCACCCATGCGTGTCAGTTTCTGCAGCTGTAAAGGGGGAAGGTTCTCAGGCTGCAGGGAGCGATGTGTGGAAGAATCTGGCTCGAGCTCAGTTCACGATGGGCATTGTCATCCGGGGTTTAGACATTCCACAGACGAGCTGTGCTTTGCAAGCCTCCTCGGCAGCCACCCAGGCTGAGCCCCCAGCGGCCCTGTCGAGGTTGGGGGGCCCCACACAGGCACTGCCACCAATCCGGTGAGCATGTGGGAGCCCTTGGGTCCCCACTGGGGGGGGTGGAGCCGAGGCTGGAATCTCTCTCACTCCAAGATCCCCAGCCTTCGGAGGTGTGCCCCCAGCCCACACCTCGTTCCTGGAGGCCCTACTCTTGCCCCCACCTACGCTCCAGCCCCCTGCCCTCCTGCCTACCCCCTGCTCTGCTCACACTGGGCCGGCCAAGGGTTGGGCCCATCTGGCCACTGTTTGCGATTCCTGCTCCTCCTTTCTGCTCTGCTGACTCCAGGCCCCCGTCTTCGGGGACACAATGCACTGCTTATGTCTGATCAGACGTCTGCAGCACACGTCCCGCCCGTGTGAGCTGCCCTGGCTTATCTGAAGAGCAGGAGTGGGGGGGCATCCCGCATCCTGCGCCCAGGCCCACCCCTGTCCCCCCAGGCACACCCCGTGAGGCGTCGGGCAGGACACGCCCGGTATGGCCAGGTGCCTCTGTCGCAGCTGTCACGGGGCTGCCAGCGCCCCGACCGCTGTCCGGGTGAGGGGTCTGCTGGCTGGGTCGCATGCCTGTGACCCCACCCGACAGGACTGTCAAGGACAGAGTTCATTCGTCTGCCTGACCTGGGGGCTCCTGGGGGTGTGGCCAGTCCTGCTCCCAGGGTTTGTGGCAGGAACTGCAGCTGGCCCTCCAGCTCAGACCCAGCTCCGACCTTGGGCACCTGAAACTTCCACTTCTCAGCCCTCCCCCAGTCCCTGGGGTGTGAAGCCTCCCTTCTCGGGGAGGCTCACAGGAGCCTCTGGCCCATGGTGGGAGGAGCTGGAGCCTCTCAGCTCCAATTGCAGAAGAGACAGAAGTCAGAAAAGTTAAGCAACTTGCCCACGGTCACACAGCACAGCTAGGGCCCATAGTCATGCAGGCTGAGTAACGATGGAGGAGGCACGTGGCAAAGCTAGTGGAAATGTCATAAACCCTCGTTAAAGGGGGGTGTCAGTTCCAGTGACACGTCCCTGCGCTTGTTTGTGCCACCGATTGCCCTCTGGCCTGAGTTCCCATCCGTGAAGGAGGCGGTGTCAGAACCTCCATTCAGGTTGGGGCCACGGGGAGTGGGGCCACGGGGCTCTTGCTCAGTCTGTCAGCATCTCAGTGGCGATGCTACCCGGACACCCCCAGCCCCGGGACAGAATGGGGGCTGCAGCCCCAGAGGGAGGGGAGCCCCCCACAGTCTACCCATCTCTCTGGCCTGGGGTCCCTGTTCCCCCCACTGAGGGCCCCGGGCCCCCCGAACTCGCTCCTGATCCCAACACTGTGCATGGCCAAGGGCTGGGGCTTTCCAGAAGCTGGGAGGTGCTGCCCCACCGGGCCAGCCCTCCCCCTGCGCCGGCTTCCAGCTGGCCTCAGCTGGCCAGGAATCCAGATGTTTCCACCGCCCTGACAGCGCCCAGACCAGCCGTTGCCCACGCGGTCCCCCGCCCTGCTGGCGAGGGAGAAGGAGGGTGTATGGCGTCTTCAGACCTCCCGGGACCTCCTTTCCCAGCTCATGCTCCTAACGTGTTCGACAGATGGCAGGCTGGCCCCTGTTCAGCTATCCAAATAGAAAAACGGGCCTGGCAGCCGGCGCTGCCTGACAGAAACGCCCCAGCTGCCTGGTCGGTCCGTGTGGATGCACTCATGGGGGCTGGGGAGGCAGAGGCGGGCGCAGGCTGCCCGGGCAGCTCTGAGACACCATGAGAAAGTTGGGGAATCGCATTTATTTACAAATACTTAGAACTCTGGCTCTCCCAAGAGGCCTGCCGCTGGGCCTGCATCCAACCCGCACCCCCATGGTGGCTCTGGGAAGACCGTGGAGCCCACCTGCAGCCCCCGCGCACTGGAGGCCCAGAGCCAGGGTGAGGGTGGAGGCCGGAGGTCACAGCGGTTTCACACAGTTGTCACAGGCAGTGCTCTGTGTTCCAGTCCTGTGCCCACCCTGACGTGTCATTCTGTGTCCTGTACTGTGTGGCCTTACCGCAAATGCGGAGCCTGGTCTTCATGTCTGACCACGGAGGTGACACACGTGGCGGCTCAGAGCAGTGCAGACACACAAGCGCACTCTGTTCAAGGCCAGGCTGGGAGCCAGCAGAAGGGGGAGGGCAGGGGCCAGCCCCGGGCGCTTCGTCCTGCACACGTGGGGTCTGCACACGTGGGAGTCCAGGCTGTGGGTTCCAAGTCGCCGTGCACCCTGAGGGGCTTGGTCCCACCTCATTCCCAGGCTGTAGTGGAGGAACTCGAGGCCCAGAGAGGTTGTGCAGCTTGCCCAAAGGCACACAGCAAGGCCAGCCACCAGCCTCCCTGCCTCACTCGGAGCACCTCATGCCCTTACCTCCACGAGCAGTCAACCCTCGCTCCCCACAGGCCAATCTGCCCCTGCTGCAGCGGGAACTCCTGCACTGCGCCCGCCTGGCCAAGCAGACCCCCGCCCAGTACCTGGCCCAGCACGAGCAGCTCCTGCTGGATGCCAGCGCCTCCTCCCCCATCGACTCCTCAGAGCTCCTGCTGGAAGTCAATGAGAACGGCAAGAGGAGGACACCTGACAGGTACCTGGGGAAGGGAGGGCCGGCACCCCCCCCCCGCCGCCTGACCAGAGAGCCGCCTGTGGTACCAAAGCTGAGTGGGCGCCCCAGGTCTAAAGCTGAGTGAATGCAGGTCCAAACCCGGTTGTGCTGCGTGGCTGCAGCCACCGGGCCTGTCAAGCAGCGTTGGCTGCAAGGCCGCTGCCCGGCCGAGTTGCTGAGAGGCAGCCCTGTCTGGCGGTGGGGAGGCCTCCCAAGGACTCAGATGCCTGCTGGGAGGACAGGGCGGGGTCTGTCTGGCAGGAATTCCCTGGCTTTTCCCTTCGTGCTGGTCGTGTTCCCCGAGTGCCCGGGAGCCCGTTGTCCCCAAGTGCCTGGGCTGCCCTTGCTGCCGGGCGCCTGCCCTACTGGGGGGGCATCTCCCCACTGCCTCAAGGGGGGCTCGGGCTCCTTGCCTGACCGCTGTGCCCCAGGAGCCCACCCAGCGGGGTCCCCAGTCCCAGAGGAGGAGGGAGGAGGGGGGCTGGGCCCCCAGCAGGCAGCTCTTATCTTTCCCGATGCTCATCTGGCTGTGTCTCCCCTCACTGTCTCTCTGCCTGCACCCTCGTCTCCCTCTCACCCCTCTGTCCACGGATCCTGGTCCCATGACCACTGGCCCCCCTGCCTGCTCGTTGGACTAGGACCAAAGAGAACGGGTCAGACCGTGACCCACTGCACCTCGACCACCTCAGCAAACGGCCCTGCACCCTGAGCCCTGCCCAGCGCTACAGCCCCAGCCATGGGCTGCCGCACCCCACACCACCTCCGCACTACCGCCTGGAGGACATGGCCATGGCCCACCACTTCCGTGACTCCTTCCGCCACCTTGACCCCCGGGAGCTGCGGGAGCGCCATCGGCAGCTGGGTGAGAGCACGCTGTGGGGGGTGCCCGCCAGCGGCTGTGTGCCCCACAACACCAGGGGGACAGCTGGTGCTGCCCGGTGCCATATGTCTGGAAAGGACAGACACAAAGGAAATGGGTTCAGAGAAAGGATTTGAACCTCAGAGGCCAGAGGGGAGCCCCACCCAGCTGGGCTGCACCCCAAAGCCTGAGGGACAGCCAGCTTTCCGGGACCTCTGTCCTGGGGGGCAGCCTGACATCCCCCAGCCTCAGGGCTAGGAGGGCCCCTCCCTTGGGGGTGGGTGCTGTGCCCACAGGGGTTCATGTCCTGGGGGCTGGGCAGAGACAGGCACGGGACCTAGGGCTGCTCAGGACGCACCTGTTTACGGGCAAGGTGGGTGGGCGAGGCCTGGCATGAAGGCAGCCCCCAGGTCCCAGGAGCTGCAGCCACTGCCTCCAAGGCCACGCACCCTGAGGGAGAGCAAAGGCTCCCTGAGACTCCTCAGCCCCGAGCGCCACTGACTGTGCACATCCAGCCGTGCCCTCGGGCGAGGAAGTGAGCCCCAAACACCCAGGGAGAGGACAGAGATGAGGGAGGCTGGGGCGCCACGGCATCGCCCCCAGGGCACAGGCTTCCAGCAGGGCTGTGACCTTCCAGCATCGAGACTCCCCAGGTGCCTGGGTGCACCCCTGGTCAGGTGGCTCCGTGCCTCCCTGTGAGCGGGGCCTCACAGCAGCCCTCCCCCAGTGGTGTGAGGGGTTAATACAGGGCCCGGCCCAGCAGTTACTGGTAGTGGAGTAACAGGTCCCAGTGGACCTCGTCCCCACATTAGATGCTTTACTAGGGCTAGGAGGCAGCAGCTTGAAGTGCCTGACACACCTGTGTGACGTGTCTGCACACCCACACCACAGATGGGGAGACTGAGGCCCAGGGGGTATAACATACCCAAAGTCGGCTAGCCACGGCTGTCTGATCTTCTGACCTGCCCCTGTGCTGTATCAAAGGTGGAAAGTCCAGACCCTCCCCTACACCTCCCCCGCATATTGGTGTGGGACAGCCTGGGAGCAGCCTAGGGCACCGATGGGGGACCTAGAGGCAGGGTCAGTGGAGGCCTTGCCCTGTCCAAGGCCGTCTCTCTGCCCCCACCCTGCGGAAGCTTCCAGGGCCCAGGCCCAGGCAGCAGGTGACAGCGTCTGGCTCCCTGCAGCCGGGTCAGGCAGGTGCTAATTCCCACCCGCTTCTGCTAACGCAAAAATAAACGCCAGCTGTCAGAGAGATCTCAGCCACTATTCTGGTTGGGGCACTGGCGCGGGCCCCAGCTCTGTGGACAGCGCCTCCCACCTCTGCTGCAATCTGGGCAGAGGCCTTTCAGGTCTGGGGGCCAAGCAGGCCTAGGTGGACCCCAGCCCAGGGAGTCAGTGCCGGGACACGGTGGGGGTGGGGGGTTGCAGTGTTTGCATAAGCGGAGGAGGAGCCGTTGTGAGGGGGCAGATGCTACCCTGCTGGCTGGCGAGGACTTCTCAGCTCACAGTTCTTTTGTTTCTGATTGCGGGGTAGGGACACCCCTTGTTTCAGCCTCTGGAACTGTACCAGTCAGGGCCTGAGGGCTCAGCTCTGGATAGGGCCAGCCTTGCTTGACCTTGGTCAACGTGTCCCCTTAACCAGCCTGGGTTTCCTCATCCATAAGGTGGAAGTGACAGTAGACCCTTCCCCCCAGAGGCCAACAGAGGGATGAAAGGGTGAAGCGCTTGGCGCAGAGCCCTGCTCTGTACCCGGGGCTCCCCTCCAGCGCACCTCCTCTCCTCACACCCCTGGGAGGCAGGCAGGGTAGGCAAACTGAGCCCACGGGCAGGACAAGGGCCCAGGTCCCACAGGGAATGCGAGTCAGGGCTTCCGGCCTTTCCCAGCCCCACCGTTCCCAGGAGACCACACAGAGACCCGCTCACTCGAGACCCAGCAGATAAGCCAGAGCACGTCCTACCAGGCTGGAGTGCAGCCCAGGGGACACAGAGGTGAACAGGCCACGCCGGCCATGCCCTGCAGACTGACGCCGTCTGTTGGGGGTACTGAAGAAGCAGCGAGGCACCTATAATTACTAAACAACCAGAGATACGTGGGGCTCAGGAAGTCTGAGAGCCCAGGGCTGCCGAGGAGGAAGGGGCCTGTGACCTGGGCTTTGAACGGTGCAGGGGAGTCCAGCTGGCTCCGAGAGAGCAGTAAAGCACGGGCCGAGCCGGGCAGTCACAAGGATGCCCCTTAAGTGAGGTCTGAGGCCACTTCCCAGGCAGCAGGGGTCAGAAAGTGTGGGAGTGGCTGGATTTGCGTGGGAAGCAGGGGGTGGGGGAGGGGAGGCCAAAGCGAGGGACGGGGACCCAAGTCTCTTCCTCCCAGCACGGGAAGAGGCCAGGCCTGTTCGGCCCCCCGAGGGCAGTGCCCGGGGTTCCCGCTTTCACGCTCTCACTGTTCCCCAGGAGGGCACAGCCCATGGGCGGGGCCTGGCACAGGGGGCGGGGCCTGACTGCACAGGGAGGGGCTTCGAAAGGGTAGGTCCTGGAAGCAGGAGGGGGTGGCTAATGAGCAAGGGGCGGGGCCTTAGCGTCCACTCCCCCTGCAGCGGTGCACGGGTCCAGGCCTGAGGAAGTGATTGACCACAGGCTTACGGAGCGCGAGTGGGCGGAGGAATGGAAGCACCTCAACAACGTGAGTGTCGCGGCGGCGGT